TTAACTTACGTTAATATCTAAGACTTGGTTTAATTTGTGTTATTTAACAATTTAGTTTCATTTGTGCAGATGAATACATATGGAGTACCTGCTTTAGAGTGACAAACAAGAGCGTATTACGATGCCTTGACATCATCTCCCATATGTACTGCTCCGACAATTTGCAAGCCAAGATTATGGAACTGTTAAACTATTGAGGAGGTTTCAAATTTATCTTAAAAAATAATATGAATTTAAATTTATGTTGTGGTCAAAATAAATTTTGTATAACTAAGATAGTATTATTTCCTTTATGCTTGATCATGTGGTTGTTCGTAAAAAAGATCAATGTGAACTTTCATTAAAGTTCGGGCAAAAATAACTAATTATTATAAAGTAGTATATCATGAAAGGCTGAAGGGTGAGTCCACTTAGACTTATTATGCCATTGTATAAGGGTAAGACATCGGGTTTGAGCCTGGTGCTCTATGATGATAAGAGTTAGATTTGAGTCCTAACTCATCATGGCCTAACATGCCTTTATATGGGTAAGGCATTGGGTTTGAGTCCCAATGTACCATATTGATGATCTAATGATGACTAATGAAAAATAATGTATTTTTCATGAAAAAGGATGAAGCTTGTCCCACTTGATTTGCTCCATTCTTGAAGTGAATGTGATAGCGGTGCATAATAAGTCTAAATGAAGACAAGTGGTTGACCAATGAACGTGGGCGTGCCAAAGATCAAAATAATAATAGTCATCATTAAGGTAATTATAAAAAGGAGAACAATAAGGGTTCTCAAAATAATACTTCAAAGGTGAAGGAATTGTGTATCAATATGGTCTGTAAATATGAGGCACACTCAGACGATTATAGTCCATCTTTTTTTTGAAGAATGCGACTTGTGATAGGCATTGTAAATGCAAACTCATTCCTGAAGTGAGTGGGAATATATATATATTATGCACAAGAATGTTTATGCATGGTTGAATAAATACTACAACTCACCTCTACGGGAGGTTTGAGAGAAAGAAAGATCATAAACATTACTATGTGGTTACACGAATATGTCATTGGTCGTGTACATGTGGTACGCCGAAAATATTTTGCCATGCCCTATAAAAAGTTATTAAATGAAAAAATAAAGCAAGAAAAGATTTTGCTTATGATGATTTTGACTATGACTATTATTATGATAAGATAATTTTCTCTGTGGAGGAAAAATTCACCACTTGAATGGTGTTATAAAAGATCTTGTAGTGCAAAATTATTGAGAGCTCGAGAAGAGCAAATTTATTACTACCCGAATAAATAAAATTATTCATGGCATTGGTGGTAGTAAGTCTCAAAAGAAACTTTTTAAGTTTCAAATGTATTGCCAAAGTGGTTGGCATATTGAGACTATGAATGAAAGGAAGATCGATTATCTTCATATTACTATATGAATGAAAGGAAGATCGATTATCTTCATATTACTATAACATACCGGGTAAATATGAAGGTTACCCGATTTTTTTTCTATTTGTACTACACAAATATAAGCATGATGATGGAATCGCATGTCATGGTAAATTAGATGTTTACTGAAATAAATATCAGTTGGCATGACCGGTTGGCCATCTCGGTTTATTGATGCGAAAATTAATTGAGAATTCACATTGACATATATTGAAGAAATAGAAGATTCTTCAAGAATTGTTTTGTGCTTCTTATTCTCATGATATACTAGTTAAGGTTGGGATTGAATCCCTTGATTTCTGAAACGAATAGAAGGTGATATATATATATATATATATATATGGGCCCAATCACCTGCCATGTGGATCGTTTACTATTATATGTTTTTANCTCCCAAATAGAAATTTGGTATGAGGTGTATTATTTAATATACAACAGCACTTGTACGCATCTAGCCAACAAGTTATGAAAAAATCTCAACAATTGGTTCAGGGTCAGGAACCAAATAACTTCCATCTAGAAATATGAATGTGCGATATGATTTAATTATCCCATTATAATGCACAAATATGGGTTCACAAAGAAGGCTGAAAAATATGTTGGTGATCCCAACATTATGGGGAGAAAATAGGCAGCTGAAAAAGTGATACGTGGAATGAATTATTATGAGTACATCTAGATCCTCGTGCAAGAAAATATGAACTTGAAGTTCAAGTGGTAATTCAGTTGCAAAATATTGTCAGGGGCATATGCTAACCCAAAGCTAAATGTCATATTTTAGCTGCTAATGCTCCAACTAAAATAAAGTCTAAGATGGACAGAGTCCATGACACGTTGGTTCCAAAGATAAAACTCCTTGAAGAAGGAGTGGAGCAAATGATCAAGATGGTCATTATAAAGAGGCAAGTGCTCTAGAAGAGCACCACGAAATAACAATCTATAAGACGTCATGGAAGAGGCTCAGGTACCTGAAAATAATGATCGATAAGTTATGTCTTTATTGTGTGATGATGGAACCGATGTAAAATGATCATTGACGATATTGTTGATATAATGTAGCGTTCAATATTATTAATATTGACGAGGATCTTGAGCTCAAATCTGTCATGGAATTTGAACAGATAAATGATTGGCCAAATGAAAAATACGCAATGAATATTGACTTCACCTGAAAAATATGAAGTTGGACGGATAGTCCCAACACCTGAAAATGAAATGAAAAATCAAGTCGATAGACATAAAGACGACTTGTAGCACAAGATTTTTCGTAAATATTCCGGCATTAGTTATAAGGAGATATGTTTTCGTATGGTGGTTGAAATCCTTTTCAGGTTTTAATTTGGCTATACATGAAAAACTTGATATGCGTATAATGAAAATCCTTGATGGATTTAAATTGTTCAGAAATATATAAAGTTTCAGCAATCCTTATATGGATTAGAGTAATCATGGTGTACATGATTTATTTTTATGTCTAGTGCAATTGGTGCACTAATGTATCTTGCTAGAACCATAAGTATAACAATATTCTAGCGAGATATAGTTTTACTCCTATGTATATTGAAATACGATTAGTGTTATATTGCAAAAGAATCTTTGATCTAGATTTGTTTATTCTAACAATTATTGTCAAGGTTTTGTTGGTTATGCAAATGCAGGCATTTTCTGAAATTCGTTCTAGAAGCAATCTATTTGTATGTGAGGGTAATGTCATATTGTGATATTCAACAAGGTTCCAATTGCATTGAAGATGATACTGCATGTATAGCTTAATTGAAAGAAGGACTATCGAAGGAGACAAAATAAAGCATATTTCACCAAAGTTCTTCAACAAATTTGTTCAAGTGATAATTTGACAAACTTCTTCACAAAGCATTGCGGATTTCAATATTAGAGAAGTTGTTATACAAGCTTGGAATTCATTGTCTCCGAAGAATAAAGTGATATTTTCATCAGGGGGAGGCAAATGCGCGTTGTACTCTTTTTTCCTTAGCTAAGATTTTATCCCACTGGGTTTTTCTGGCAAGGTTTTTAATGAGGCAGCAAATAATGCGTATTACAAGATATGTGTACTCTTTTTCCTTCATTAAAATTTTTTTCTCATACGGTTTTTTCTTAGTAAGGTATTAACGAGGCACATTATCTATAGACATCCAAGGGGGAGTGTTATGAAATATTGTAATTATATTAGTGGATGTCTATAACTCCTAAAGAAGTTACTCCCACTACTCTTCTCCATTATGTAGCTAATTCCCACTACTTCTTACCATTATAGTTGTAACTCCCACACCTCCATAACCTCCCCATGATCTTCCTCCATGATCTCAAATGTTTAGTGTCATGTTTATGGCATTCTTTTGTATACCTCTATGTAATCCTATAAATAGAGGGTTTTGGCATCACATTGTACACACTTGGAAAACACTTGAAGAAATAAAAATCTATTCTCTCTACATTCTTATCTATTTGCTTGTTTCATATTATTACTTTGAACTAAGTTTCTTAACAAAATACAACATATTTTCCTCTTATTTTGGAATTGGTAAACTAGTCTAACAGCCCCAAAATTTACACCCATTTTTAAAACTGGTAAACAAACTTGTAAGTTTCTCATAACCCTTCAACTTGACAGAACGTACAACTATTAATAAATACTTCTAACAATGGATGATGCTTACGTGGCAGTTATTTAACCTAAAATTTGCTTATTAGATTTAAATTAATTAAATAAATAATTATAAGGCCACAAGCAAGTGATTCAATCTAAAAAAAGCTAAATAATTGAAACAAATGGTGAATAGATAATAAAATAACGCGAGAAAATAAGATAAAAATTATTATTCGATAATTCTCGAACAGATTGATCACGAGGACTGATTAAGATGTGAATAGATAAAGAACACATTATGAAGACCAATAGTAAGGGAAGTATTCTGTCGATGATTCAAATTAACCGATTTCATGAACCATGCAACCATTATGAGCATTTATTTGGCTCCTTTTCATTCATTTAATTCAAGAGTAACTAATGAATCAATGCTGATTCTTGAAACCATCGAGCTATTGATGTCTTTTGTCTTCTTCGTCTGGTCCGCGGTAATCTTTTCGGACACTTATAAGCTTTTCGGACAGTTGGTAGTGTATCTGAAATTGAATGCACTATCAGAAAATGGGTCTATGGGAACAGTAATTTTAGCAACGGTTCAAGAATCGTTGCCATAGATCATGTTTGGTAACGGTTACAACCGTTACAGTAGCATCTAAGTGATACTAGCGCACTTTAATTATAAAACCGTTGCAATTGTAAAATAACCGTTGCCATAGATTTATCTAAAGCAACGGTCATATAAACTGTCCCAATAAAACAATCTACTGGAACGCATCTTTAGTAAAAATAGCTATTGGAACGATTATTTTTTTTCCTCTTTATTTCCCCCCTGATTTTTTGTTAACCCGCCAAATATCCCCTATTTATTTAGTTTTTTAATAATTTTAATAACCTAAATATTAAATAACAAAACATTTGTGTTATAGTTCTGTGTATACCCAACCCGCGATATCCCCAATGCCACAACCTTCTACTTCACTGGAAATCTTCTTCTTCTGCAAGAATCTTCTCCTTCCTCTTCAAAATCGCCGATTCCCCTATCTTCCTCTCTCTAAAAACTCTGATACCCCTATCCCTCTCTCCGATGCCCTGAAAAACCCTCAGTCCTCTTTTAGTTTAGAGTTTTCTGAGTTTTAGTTTGATTAAGTGCAGAATGAATCTGAGAAACTAAGATTTTGTGCAAAGGGTTTGTATCCTTTGAAGGGCTTAGGTCAACTTGTTGTGCAAAGGTTACAAACGAAGATTGGAGAAACAATTTGAAGACCCAAATACTAAAGTAATAAGTTTTTTTTTTTTGCGCTCATTGCACTTTCTGGTTCTTAATCGAGAAATCTGGTCTTATTTTTGGGTTTTCTTATGGTTTTTTCAGTTGAATTAGGGATTTTTTGTGAATTTTTCCTATGTTTGTTCTGGAGCCTGTTTGTATTTCTAGTCCTTGGCGGCTTTTTTCTGTTGTTATGTTTTCCAAGTTACTGAAAACTCTCATACAAGCAAAGAAAGTACTTATTTTGGATAAAGTTCTTAAATCTTTTTCTGTCCTCACTTTTGCTCTATCTTGACTTGCATTCTCATTTTCTTTAACCATTTAATGCATTAATCTTCTTCCTTCACTGTACATTGTTCGAATGTGTTACTTTTGCAGCTATGCTGCTAGCGATCCTTTTTTTTTTGAAGTTACATTCAAGTTCCAATGTTATCTTTAATTAGCTACAATATTTGAAAATGTCAGAAGTATGAGCCTATATTTGAACTTTTCCAATTGTTTTTGATGACTGATGAGTACCTCATAAGTAGTATGAGCCCATATTTGAACTAATAGATTTATGTAATCTGATGAATGTCAAATTGACAACTATTCTAGTATTCCATTGGCGTCAGTGTTACTTCTTTACTTAATTTTTCAATTTCTTACTGCAGTGGTTAGCTAGAAGACAAGCACATTTACTATGCGCTCAACAAGGGATTCCTATCTCCGAATTTGGGGTAAGCATTAGAACCCAAAACATACTTGATTTAGTTTATGTTAACTTTCACATATGGCATGTTTGAATTAGGTTGTGCATGTTGTATATATTTCCCTTGCCCTTCGATTTTGTTTCCATTTATTATGTAAAAGCATTAAATTGATGTTATTTTTGCTATCTTTTCAGTTTTCATGTTAAAGTTAGTTGTTCTTTTTGCTAGCTAGAAAGTTGCTCTATTGATCAAAAGGTAGAGATCCTACAAAAAGATATGATTCTCTGTAAATGATATCACAATTACTATGGCTTATGCTATTCTTTCACCCATTTCATATAAGCCCATCATTGATATCACAATTAGCTCTAGTATTTAAAAAGAGTATAAAAACTAGCCTACTACAATGTGACGACCCAAAGGGGTCATCACCTGTTTTCTCATTCATTCTGTGTTTCTGAGGCCTTGAAAACCTCATTTTTACTTGCCTCGATTTGCGTCGCAGTCCGGGCGCGTAGCTGAAAAGCTTTTATGTTGAAATATGTGAATTCTGTGAAAAATTTGAAGAATTTTGATAGTAATTATGATTATAGTTGACTTTGGTCAACATTTTTGGTAAACGGACCCGGACCCGAGATTTGACGGTCCCGGAAGGTCCGTAGAAAAATATGGGACTCGGGCTTGTGCCCGGAATCGAATTCCGAGGCCTAGAGCCCGAGATATGAATTTTTCCGTGAAATTGTTTTTCTGAAATTATTAAGGAAAATGGAAATGAAAATTGATTAAAAGACTATGGTATCGGGCTCGTATTTTGGTTCCGACGCCCGGTACAAGTCTTAAATATGTGTTAAGCACTTTCTGTGAAGTTTGGTCGAAATCGGACGTCATTTGACATGTTTCGGACCTAAATATCTAAAGTTTGAAGTTTATGAAGTTATAATGAAAATCATGTGCCTTGAGGCTTGATTCTATGTAAATGATGTTATTTTGGCGATTTGATCGCGCGAGTAAGTCCGTAGGATGTTTTTGAGGTTGTATGCATGTTTGGTTTGGAGCCCCGAGGGCTCGTGTGAGTTTCGAATAGGCATCGGAGTGCATTTTCCATGTTTTCAAAATCTGGTATTCCCAGCTCTGGTATCTTCGCATTTGCGAAGAAGCAATTGCAAATGCGATATCGCAAATGCGACTACTTGATCGCAAATGCGATAAATGGGAGGCCCTGTGTATGTCGCAAATGCGACAAGAAGCTCGCAAATGCGAAGGGGTGGCCATCGCAAATGCGATGGTAAGTTCGCAAATGCGAACTCTGCCCCCCCCCCAGACCCTAGTTCGCAAATGCGAACTATTGTTCGCAATTCCCACGCTTGTTTTGTTCGCAAATGCGAACCTATGTTCGCAATTCCCATATCCGAGGCCCAGCAAATTTTATACTTAGTCGAATTTTCATCACTTTTCACCATTCTTTCAAAACCCAAACACCATAGGCGAATTTTCAAGAGCAAACTTCATGCCAAATCACTTGTAAGTTGATTTTTACTCAATTCTTTCAATCTTTAACATCATTAAACATGTTTTCCACTTGAAATCAAAGATTTTCATGGGTGAAATTGGGATTTTTGGGTAGAACCTAAGTTTTTTATAAATTGGGGAGTTGGACCTCGATTTGAGGTCCGGTTTCAAATCAAATTATATATTTAAACTCGTGGGGGAATGGGTAACCAGATTTTGGTTCGAACCTCGAGTTTTGACCACGTGGGCCCGGGGGCGTTTTGGAAAATTTTGAGTAAAACTTTGGGAAAATCGTTTTTATGCATTCAAACTAATTCATATAGTGTTTGCTAAAGTAATTGAGCAATTTGTGATTAGATTCGAGCGGATTGAAGGTGGAACCGCGAGATAAAGCAATAGTTGAGGATTAAGTGGATATCAAGGCTTTGAGGTAAGTGTTTGGTTTAACCCTAGCTTGAGGGAATAGGAGTTGAGTCTTGTTGTTAATTGCTATGTGATCGAGTACGATGTATAGGCATGGTGACGAGTATCTATACATTGGTGTCTAGCATGACCGTGAGTCTTTATAATGTAATTATCGTGACTTGGTTGTGAACTCTGTGTTTATTGGAGGATTTCCAGTTGTTGTGAATAACATGTGAACGGTAATATGATCACTTGATTCCTGGGAGCATTGGCTCGAATTGTGATACGAATATTGAAAGTATACGAAATGACTTGATTCTTTGGGGCGTTGGCTCAAAATAGTAAAGTGAATTATAAGATAAGGAAAGTAAGAAAGAGAAAGCATTGTTGATTATTCCCTTGCCGGGACGTTTGGTTGCATTTGTTGAATTCTTTCCCTTGCCGGGATGTTTGTCAAATATTTGCTTATTTTTATGCCCCTTTATTGTGACTGTTGTTTGGGGAGTCGGACTGTTAAATGATATTGAGGATCGGGTTGCGCGCCGCAACAATGATATATGATAAGTGATATGGGTCGGGTTGCACGCCGCAACAGTGGTATTTGTGGAGCGGGTTGCACGCCGCAACAGTTATTGAGGCTATGTGTTTGTATTTGAGTATTGATTCTTTATTCTTTGTGAACCTAAGCTGTTTTTAGTTGTTACTCTGGATTGTTGTTAATATTGTATCTCCCCTTAGCATGTTTCCCCTCCCATGTTGTTAATTGCCTTGTATTCGATTTCCGCTGTATATTTATGACTGCACAGGCTTATGTGATGTCTAGTCTATCCTCGTCATTACTTCGCCGGGGTTAGGCTAGACACTTACCAGTACATGGGGTCGGTTGTGCTGATGCTACACTTCTGTGCATTTTTGCACAGGTCCAGGTTTTGAGGAGCAGCAGCAGCAGTAGTTCGGAAGCAGGCGATTCATAGCACGAGACTGAGGTAGCCTTGCAGGAGTCCGCAGGCCCGGCGTCTCTTCTCATTGTTTTCTTTTAGACTGTTGCCTCCTTGTTTCGAGACAGACAGCTGTTATATTTCTTTCAGACCTTTGTATTTAGTTTATTCTTAGTGGTTCGTGAGTAATGTGACACCAAATCTTGGGTACAGGATATTGTTGAGTATTCCGTATTTATTTCAGACTTATAAATTAGACCTTCCGCAGTTATTGTTGTTATTATTATTGATGCTACAGATTGTCAACAGAATGGCTTTACTAATGAAAACGGTGGGTAAGTTGGCTTGCCTAGCTACCACGAGTAGGCGCCATCACGATCCCGATGGTGGGAAATCCGGGTCGTGACATACAAATTGCTCCTTTGTGCATTGTTTCTCCTTTCCTTGATGTTGTGCTCTGTATGTGTGTCCTACATATTTGTAAATTATTGCCGCATTTGTGTCCTTAACTTGTATTCCATATAAGCTACTACATAGTCGACCAGTGTTCCACATGGAGTACCAGTGCTCCACCTCGATGACCATTGTTCCACATTGATAGTCCATGAGTGTTGCTGCCTTCTTGTGTTCTTTGTATGGTATTATCAACCGTTATGCATACTGTCTTCTCCCATAATTATGTGTGGAAGTTGGATTTTGTCGTCCATACTTGGATTGTAATCCATGATAGAACCTGTGTACTTCCAGTCATCCCTTGTTCTTTGTATGTCCTACTATCTGTATATGCAAAGCTTCTTGTGCTACTATCTTTCATATCCTCTCTAGCTTCCTTTGAAAGTACCTCCTCGACTGTGAGTATGTGGACAGTATATGCTTGCCTTCCTTTGTAATTGCTCCCTCTGTATTCATGTGTGCATTCCTGTGTATTTGAACCTGTATATGGTTGAAAAGAAAACACAAAAAGAAAGCTCACAGATTCTACATTTAATCAGTCATGATGTTTCCAAATCTTGTAGAGGTACTAAAAAAAATCTACTTACTATATTTTATTGTATATATGACTAATATGTTATGCATATTTTATTAGGTATCAGTTGGGTATCTTATGTATGAAATGTTACAACTGGTCAACTCAATCGAAGTCCAACTTTTAAACTAGCTAATTTTATCAGATGAAGATGCTAAATATTTTGGAATTTTATCCAAACGTGGCCTGAAGCTGAAGCAGGTTCTTTGTCTGCTTTTGATCTGGTAATTGAAGCTAACTTTATGAATTTAGTTCCTTTGCTGCTGTATGTATTGTTGGTTTTCGTATTACAGTTGATTAGCTTTGGTGGTTATTTTTTTTTTTTTTTGCTGTCTTGGTTTCTTGAGTTGTACTCTATTGCTGGAGGAGTAATTTTTGACTTACTTTTTCTTGTTTGGTGATGATGCTATTTTGTTGACCAAGCAGCTCTTGCTAGGTTGCATTTTCTAAGTGTTTGTACTTTTCTAAGTGTTGATTAATTTAGTAACAGAGAGAAAATTATGCTTGCCTTGTTGGTTGTTGCTATTAAGTTTATTTGTTGTGCTGCTCTTTATGGCCTTGTGGAGGTGATCCAATTGTCTTGTGGGATTTGACATTATTCTGTTTGTCTCAAGCATAGAGTATTCTATTGGCCTGTTGGTTTTTGTACCTTATTCTGTTTGTCTCAAGCATATAGTATTCTGTTGGCCTGTTGGTTTTTGTGCCTTATTCTGTTTGTCTCAAGCATAGAGTATTCTCATGCATTGTGGAGATGATCCAATTGTCTTGTAGGATTTGACATTATTCTGTTTGTCTCAAGCATAGAGTATTCTGTTGGCCTGTTGGTTTTTGTGCCTTATTCTGTTTGTCTCAAGCATAGAGTATTCTCTACCGCAGATTGTGTTCATCTGTGAGGCTAGTTGGACCTAGTGTAGAATGAACTATTCTGGTTTTTGCACTGACCTTTGTCCTTTTAACCAAACATTTCTTCGTAGTACCAGGAGTAATCAATTTTCCTAGCATTCAGAGTAGAAACTGATTGATTGCTTATATAATTACTGATAATGTGTACATGATAGCACAACAGATGAATAGGGAGAATGTAACTACAGATTTCATATTCAATAATTAACTTTAAGACACTAGCATTGATCCAAACAGGCAGCCAATTAAAAATTAAAGAAGTCTCAACTTAAGAAGAAATTCCACAAAATAAAAATTGGATCTTGAAATTTGTAAGTGAAATGCATAAAGGCCAAGTACAGTAAGCTCAAGATTGAGCTAAACAAAGAAATACCTATTCCACTTTTGTAGAATAACTTAAAGATCCAGCAACATTCTTCTGATCCACACCCTTAAATTCAAACAATGTGAATTCAAAATCCCAACTTTAAACCCCACAAAATGCAACCAAGATATTCATGGACCCAGGAACAAAAAAAAACCTTAAAAATTCCCAAAGTAAAAAAGATGAGATCTTTTTCAACAAGAAAAGCAAGAATGAGAAATGAGAATCTATTAGGAAACCTATATTTACAGTACACAACTATTGTTGTTTTTTCCTCAAAAAAAAGAATTTTATTTTTGTTAGTAAGCGTTGATCCTTCTAACCTAAGTAGTACTATGAGGAAGAATGCCATTTTGAATGGTGTTGAGATTATGAAAATGGTTAATTATGTGGCTTCAAAATCAGGTTCTAAGAAGAGAAATGTTTGGGTTATAGTAAGTTTTGTTCTTGAAAGTTTTATTCTGTTGAGTGTGGCGATACTTGTTAAATGATCATAATTTTGATATGGAGGCACAATTGTTAATCCAGCTTGTTAATTTCCAAAAGTTTTTCACAATAGAACTCTTGGTAATGATATTTTCAATGATGGTGGGGTGATTTACTTGTTTTTCTTTCAAGCTATTGCTTAGTTTATCCTCTTGAAGAGTAATGACTTTATTTATCCCCTTTTGTAGGTGAAGTAAATCAAGAAATCTAAGAAGATTATGAAAGTGAAGAACTAGACCTTACTTGAGATGAAAAATTGCTATAGATGAATGTTCTATAGGAATCTTTTGTTATCAACCTTTTTGAAACTAATTACTCTCTTGAAATGTATTAAACTTGTGCATTTGGGGTAGAACATTTGCTTTATGGATATTATTTGCTTGAAGGATAATTTATATTATTAAAAGTTTTATTTTATGATTTATTTAAATTTTAGTGTTATTATAATTTATTTTATATATGTAAATATTTATTTATAATAGGGGCTATATTATTTTTTTTTTTCAACTGAGCCCTACCAGAACCGTTGCAATAGGACACAAATTGGCGTTCCATGATACAATGCAAACCGTTGCGATAGGTCATATAAACCGTTCCATAATAACATATAAATTGTTCCCGCACAAAAATAAAACAGTTGCAATAGGGGTAAAGGAACCGTTGTTATATCCATAAATAACCGTAACAATAGCTTACAAAAGTGTTGCATTAAATAATATGGTAACGGTTAAGAACCGTTCCATATACACTATAGTAACGGTTTTAAACCGTTCCAATTCGAAAATATAACCGTTCCAACAGAGAAAGGGAACACCGTTGCGATAGATGCATCTATAACCACGGAGAGTGCAAATCGTTACAAGAACCGTTCCCATAGACCTATTGCCACGCGGGCTGATGGAACGGTAGGTAAACCGTTCCCATAATATGGCAACGGTTAAACAGTCTATGGGAACGGTCTCCCAACCGTTACCGTAGGCCAATTTTTCAGTAGTGATGTATTCTTCTTCCAGAAAATCTTTATTCATCTCCTCTTCATTCGTACTAGTATTACTATTCGCACGATGTGCGGACACAATTCATGTCAAACTTTTGGATTATTTGCATTATGTGCAAATAACCTTAAAATTAAACCTTTTATATAGAAATTATAAATATTTAATATTAATTAAGAAGCATCACATGAAACCATTTTCAAATCTAATAGTGGATAATCTGTTTCTTTTTCTATATGTGTAAGAACCCAACCTCATAATTTTCACAGTTGTATTATATTTTACAGTCAATATTAAGAAATACTAAACATGTAACGTTGTGATCTGTCTTATTTGAGTATATTAAATTAACTTATTTTAACAAAATTCTTACTACCACTTTATTTTTTTATCTCAAATTCAAATAAGTCTTATCCTTCTACATTGTTAGACAAAAAAATTTTCTCCTTATTATTCATTGCTTATAGTTTTTGCATTAGTTATTACTTAATATTTTATACTGTAATGTGATTTTTTATTAGTTTTTAAATTGACTTAATGTCTTGCTTATTTCCCTTTTAACAATGTCAAAAAATTTATTCTCAAAATTGAATGTTTTTTACACTATTATCCTCTTACTCAGATCTCTTTCATCACTTAGATCTAATAATAATATTTTTGAGTATTATTTAATAAGTTTATTTATTTATTTTAAATAAATTTAAAAATAAAAGTATCCTCACACTATCTCTGTTTTTCTCTTTATACATTCTCTTCCTGACGACAAAATTTTAATTAGCTTTTTACATAAATATTTTACCTATACTCAAAATAATATCATATGTCATTTTAAAATATAACTTTAAATTAGTCTAAAAATTACTCCCTCTGCTTCAATTTAGATGACACATTTAGCTTATCGACAATCAATTTGACTAAATTTTGAAGCTAAATTAGATTAGATCAACTTAATATTTTAAAATTAAAATTTAGATATACAAAACTACACGAAAAGTACTATAAGTTATAATTTTTCTCATGTCAGTATGATAACAAAGTATATTTTAAAATGTTGGTAAAATTTATGCAATTTGACTCTCGATAAGCTAAATGAGTCATCTAAATTGAAACAAAGGAAATAATATATAAGTTCTTTTATAATGTTTCAAATCTATTGAATTTTCGTATAATTTTGTATTACGTGCATTTTTATTTTGTATTTTATTTTAGTTTCAAGATATAAATTTGGCTTTTAATTTTCATTCGTGAA